AAACTTAAGGATGATATTTCTTGGCTCAAAGTACTTTTTCAGGCTGAGATGAAATCTTTTATGTAGGAGTTTTTCATAGAAGGGTCATTAAAACAAAATTCCTCCATAAATATTAATTGCCAAACCTTGACCTAACAATGCAAAAAATGGGGAATGCATTATTTTCCCACTGAGCATATGTATTTAATATTTGCTGGAACCCAAGCAATTTTTTCTTCTGCAAAATGCCAAAGTAAAAGTGACCCAGCTAAAAAAATTAAGTCAAATTAATAACAAATTAAGTCAATTAATAACAAAATGATGGACCAGAAAGAGTGAACTCTTATTGGGTGAGAATAAGGTAAGGACAACAGCAGCATTGCAAGCCCTCAGGTTAAAACCACTCATTCAGCAATCTTTCAAACTTGTGCTGGCACTGAACAAGGGAGACACATCCTCAGAGTTGTGGTGGTCACATTGTCTCCATGATCACATGATGTTTGATCCCAGAACTTGCACCTGGCTCATGATTAGTGTTGTAACAATATGAGGTTACGTGATTACAATTTTTGATCTTTTCTGCCAGCTTCCCGCAAGGAAAGTTAATTAAGAAGCAAACAGGAAGTCAGAAGCTGTGATCATGTGAAAAGAATAACTGCCAACTGTAGAAAATTAGCACCACCCTTCTTTTAGAAGAATGAAATATTTTAGAAAATATTAAAAGGGCAGAATATTATATTTCCCTGGATGAGAAAAGGCAAAACCTCTTGGAAAGCAGCCCCCACCTTTGTTAATAGCCCTAGAAAGACTGGGCCATCCTATCTGCAAAACAAAAGGCTTCTAGCTGCAAGGTGATGGGATTAAGACATGACCTCAAGGACAAAAGTAGGATTAGCCCTCTACCCATCTAGCAGCAGAACTCACCATATTACATTACTGAGCACAGTTCAATCAGGTTTATCTCAGACAAATTCCTAGGATTTGCACATGACCCCTACAGCAACCAATAGGATACATTTCTTGCACAGGAACAGGAAGTTCTAGGGCAAGATCCCAAGAGAGGGTATAAATAACATTCACTCTCCATTCCATTGTGTTCAGTGCACCAGGACCATGTGCTTAATGGTTCTGCTCCATTAAACCGTTCTTCCAAGCAGCCTTCATGTTTCCAGTGTCTTTCTCCCCACTTAGAACTGAACCCAGATGGACAACCCACAAAGAAGCTATAGAAGTCTCTCAGCCCAAGACAAACTGGCTGCCCAGAAAAGCAATCAGCTGTGGCAGGTGAAGTATTGCAGTCAGTTGGAATTGACTAGTAGGATAGCACAAAGTATAACTAAAGGAAAATATTTATAACTCAGGATTGAAATGAGGGGTCCTTGATGCTCACTGAGCTTGGTTGTTTTCTTGCAGATGTTTCATTGTCCAAACTGACTAGTACTGATGATATTGCCTAGTTTGGGTAATGAAACATCTGCAAGAATACAACCAAGTTCAGAGATCACCAAGGCCTCCTCATAGGACAAAGTGCTGGAGAAAGACCATTCCTTCAAAAGTGTTTAATATAGTTGGAATTTGAAAGTAGTTTTAAAACACAGATAGATAATATCTTTGCAAAAGTTTGTGAGTGGGAAATAGACAAATAGGGAGCCAGTTTGGTCTAATAATGGATAAGGCACCAGATGACAAAGCAAGACCTTGAGTTCAAATCCCACCTTAGCCAAGAAAATCAGAATACTGGCAGAGATTGGTATATTTGCAGACATAAAAATTTGAAATGTCTAAAAATTCAAAGTGGCAGGTAGGATCATGTAATTCTAACCTTGCCACTTATTAATCTGTTGTGCACCTCACATGCATGTTAAAAGGGGAAAATTCTTTGATTGTGCAGTTGCATTTTCAATCTTGATTGAATCTTTTTGACACGCACCCACATCACAGATATCCCTGTCCTTAAAGGGATTTCCAGAAGGGCTTCTCTTTGATGTGTGGGATTTCCCAGATTCTGGTAGTGTTGCAACTATTAATCAGAGTATATCATTAGCAACATTATCTTAGGAACTTTTCATCCTCTAGTATGTTACTTTGGGTTTGTTCCTTCCTGCTAAAAAACTACAAGTCTTAAAGCTGCCAAGTTTGGAGACCTCTGGCTTAGATTCTTGAGGTGGAAATAGGGAGGTGTCTGAATTAGCAACTGTGAGTATGAATGTGGTTGTGGAGGCTTGTCTATGCCCTGATAAAATATGTAATGCCCAGACAAAGGTGGTTACTTTTCATATCTGCATGCTCATCAAATAAAACCAAATGAAAAGGAATGGAAGGAGGGCAGAAAGTGGAGTATAGATAATGAAATCAATTTAATGGCTCACCAATCAATCCTTCTCTATCAAGCAAAGTAGAGCATCTTTTTGTTCTTTATTTCTTTCATGCATGTGTTTTATCTTTATGCTTTACCTTTAAACATTTAGCTGACAAAAAATAAACAAACACATGGGCCATTGTTTTTTGTCATTTGTACTGCANGAGTTGTTTTACATATTTGCCTTTAAAAACCTTTATTATATGTGGGCTTTGAGTACAGAATCCTCTTGTGTAAGCAAATGTATTCGAAACACATAACGTGCTTATATTTCTAAAGCAGGCTCATAAATAGCAGATTGGTCTTGCAAAGCATTTGCAGAGAGGGCTATTCAGGAGGGAAAAGCTGAATTTTAATAACCACAAAGCTTCTACATCTCATCACCTGCACGTTTCTCTAAACACATTAAACTACTTACTGCTGAGATGGTAGAATAGTGAGGGACTTCCCCCCCCCCCTGCCTTTTCAGAAGGGACAACTAGCTGTTGCAACTGCTTGCTAAGTGTGCTCATGGTAAGAAACCAGCAGACAAAAAGGAGAAAGGAATCTTATTTCTGTCATAGTCCAACCAATGGGAAAAGCACCGAGACCAGAACAGGGGCATATTCCAATAGAAAGCTAGAGGATGGGTTTGGCTATCTGTCAGAATCTCATCTGAGAGGGATACCATTAAAGCACAAAAGGCTATCTCTCCCCCTCCCTGGCTTTTCCAGGAACTCATCTATAGATCATGTTGCAGTGCCTGATCCATCAAGAGGTGGTGATGGACCCTAAAGGTTGACAAACAGAATGCTGCAGCAGAAGTGTCATATTGAATAACCTGCCCCTCAGCCCCTCCCTGCATTGGTGACTAGGAGGTTATCAGAAGTTTGTTCAGCATGAACTTTGGCTGTTAATGGGGCATGGGGATGGGGTGCAAGCTGGTGCAAAGGCTTCCTGATAAAGATCATGACTATTTGCTCCTGCCCACCTAAATCACCCACAGTGCCTGATAACAAGAATGGGGTCACTGAGGTTGCTCATCACTCCAAGATCCCTTGCATGACTTGTTATTCTTGTTGGCATCTCTATTGGTTGCATTGGGTGAAGGAATCCTCGTTCAGCTATACTCACTGTACATAACCTCCGGATTGATGTTGTTGCAGATTTGGGACTAGAGGGCAAATATGATTTCAAGAGGTCCTATTTCTGTATTTATCACTGCAAGAGCAATATCTCAGTCTCTACTTCCTCTAGACCACTCAGAGGGAAGGGGTTTGTCTGCATCAACTGAAAGTGGCCAATAGGAATTGGGCAGATACCACGCACTGTCAAGTTATCTGGTTCATGGTGACCAAAGCACCCCACATGCAAATAGCCAGGAGAACAGGTTTATTTCAAAGCTTCCAACTGGCTGGTTTCCACAGAGGTAGGGAGATGAAAGAAAAGCTGTTGTGTGTACATAGGCAACGCTCAAAAGATTTTATTAAATATATTTATTAAAGATATTAAAAGGTGCCCAATGTTAAACTAAAAATATGCATCTTAAATATATTATGTAATTATTATGACCCTTAGCAGAAACATGTAACAGAAATGCAGGTGCATGGAATGAAAATGTTTCTGTGTGCCTGTGTGGGTGAGTGTGTCTGCATGCTTGTGTGTCTGTATTTACATGTATGTATGTATTACTAGACATACCCAGTTCCTTCAACCATTCTCTATATGTTTTATCCTCCAGTCCCCTAGTCATCTTTGTTGCTCTTCTCTGCACTCTTTCTAGAGCAGTGATGGCGAACCTTTTTCGGCTCGTGTGCCCAAAACAGGGAGAGCACAGGGGGGGGGGTCATACGTGGGCACATCCGTATGCTTCCCCCCTCTGCACACATATGTGCGTGACCAGCACTACACATACACACACACACCGCTTTTGGCACTCTCCATGCTCCAGAGGCTTACTAGGAGCCTGGGGAGGGTGAAAATAGCCTCCCCCCCCTGGAGGCCTCCGGAGGCTTCAGGAGCTTTCCTGAAGCCTCCAGAGCATGAAAAACCAGCCCCATGGGGAAACCGGAAGTTGTTCGCAGGGGCGTNAAACTATTCCTGTTTTTTTTTAGAGTGAAGTATAAATGGTATGGGGGCACTGCTCATTAAAAATACTATGTACCAGTGATTCTCGGTCTTTTCTTCACCATGGACCTTCTTTAGATACTTTTTGTGGCCATGGACCCCCCCCCCCCGACTTAACTCAAGATTAAAATCATAGCATTTCTTCAAGCATTTGCAGATCCCTTGGGATGACATCACGGGCTCCCAGGGGTTCATGGACCACAGGTTGAGACCCACTGGTACATAGTATTTTTAATGAGCAGTGCCCCCATACCATTTATACTTCACTCTAAAAAAAAACAGGAATAGTTTATATAAGAAACAAAATTTTCAGGGTTGTTGAAATCCCAATTTTCAAGCTTGGCTTTATTGAGCTTGATAGAGGGGGAAAGAAAATAGCTTCCAGCCTGATGAAAATGTACAGGTGTGATATTGTTGAGCTGAAATTACAAGGGCTGAGAATGCTACAAACTATCCTAAGGCGGCCGTGTGGGAATGTTGATCAGTAGCAATTCTGAAAGGGATCTAGAGCAAGAGCAGGCAATCCCCCTCCCCACTCCTTTCCCATGAGTGGGAGCTGCTATGTTTGTGGTGGGTATGGACATAACTGGGTGGAGGTTATTTATTTGTTAGCTGCTTATACTACAGTACTGTAATATTGTGACCTTTGGCAGTTTAAAAACATCCACACATCTGCAGTTATGACCAGAGTTACCCTCTCTCCCATCTCAACTTAAATAAGTACACCCAACTTTCTGCTTCCCATGTTTTTCTCATGAGACCCATACTCATAGTAAAATCAAATACAGTACTTGTTTGGCCAGAGTACAAAATAGCTAGAGTATAAAGCTCATGGGAATAGTTCTTCTCGAGCACTGCCCCCTCCCTTTCAGTCAAAATCCCTGAAAAATGTATATGACTTGAAGCTCTGGGGAGGTCTACCAGTGATCTAGTCCATGTGGCATAGCAATTTCCTTTCCTGCATGGTGTTTTTTGCCATGTGTGCCTTTTCACTCCTAGATACAGCCGTTGAAGATTTCCAGGAACGCTGTATCTGTCCCATGCCATGTAATTTGACGCGCTACGGCAAGGAGATTTCCATGGTACGCATTCCCAACAAGGGCTCAGCCCGGTACCTTGCTCGCAAATACAACCGCAATGAGACCTATATCCGGTGAGTATCACGTTGCCAAGGAGCACCTGAAGAATTCAGATAGTTTGCTCAAGTCAGTGGGCAAACCTCCTAGATTGTGGTGGTGGCAAAAAACTGTAGCAGATAAGGCCTGGAGGGCCTCTATGGAAAAACTCTGCTTGTAAATCTTCTCTCTCCTGCTTCCATTATTCCCACTGTCCTAAGGGAGAACTTCTTGGTGCTGGATATCTTCTTTGAGGCACTGAATTATGAGGCGATTGAACAGAAGAAGGCATACAACCTGGCAGGGCTTCTGGGTAAGTGATTGAACAAAAGAAAGCATACAATTTCTCAGGGCTTCTGTGTAGGCTTCTTCCCTGCCATTCCCCCAGGGTTGAGAGCTTCAACCCTGGAAACAAAGCTAGTGCCGAGGAGGCAAGGATTGTGTGAGCAGACAAAAAACGGTGAGCGAGTTAGTCTGGTTTTGACTCAAGATGGCTTCGGCTGAGGACTGCTACCAGAGCCATGTCAGGTCTTATAGCAACTTTAGTGGCCCTTTCTGTTCTTGAGCTAAGAACGTCAAGAAGGCTGTCTAGTCTTCATAACTGGTGGCACCTCCTCCAAGCATTCCTTCCTTTAGAAAGTCTCCACAGGGAGACAGCGAAGAGGGCACCTAGGTTGGACTTCCAGAATTCTCCACAAGGCACCACCTATTCAAGAATTGTGGTACTTGTCGCTCACCTATAGCAGCATGGACACCTTCCTGTCCTTCTGGAGGAGACAGAGAACACTCCCAAAAAGAAGGGAGATGATGATCCCAGGGAAAGCAGAGCCATGCTTGCTAACCAGCCTTCAAACTCCATCACCCAGTCCTTCCCAGCTATCAATACAGGTAGTCCTCGACTACTGGTAGTTTTAACTTTGAGTCCACTCAAAGTTAAAACTACCAGTAGTCGAGGACTACC